GGCTTTCCATTCTAACACATGTTCCAGAGACAACCACAGAGCTGTAAAGTTTCTCTAAGCGCAGAATTCATCCAGTGATGTTTAGTTCTCTCATTGTAGCCTCCTTCTGAAGAAATAAAAACAGGCGAAGATGAAGATGAGGAAGATAATGATGCTTTATTAAAGGAAAACAATGAAAGTAAGGTTTGCATGTTCTCAGTCTTTTCAGTTTCTCTCTTGATGTGTATTGCAGGAGCTGTGTTGTAACATGGTTTCTACGGAGGGTCATGGGTCCTGTTTAAGCCAGTGCTTCTGACTTGAACCCCATTCGTACCAGTGTAGCCTTTTTGGGACATGGGGTGCCAGTAGCGACCTCTCCATCTCGTGACCTGCAGTGCTGAAAGCATCCAACTTGTTGAGTTGGATCAGCACTTTGATTAGGAGCCTCTTCCACCTTTTCTGCTGTGTGGTGTATGTTTACAGCATTACTTGATATTCATAGCTAAAATGCCAGCGTTGCTGTGAAAAAACCTACCTGAGCATTCCTTGACTCTGCTTCCCTGTTCTTTCTGCCCTTTTAGTGCCTCCCTCTGGCCCCTGCTGGGGTGGGTAGTTACAGGGCTTTCAGAAATGGATATATTCCAACTCTGAGATCTTTCCTTCATCCTCATTTAAAATATCATAGAAGCAAAAGCGTCTCTGTGAGAAGAGCAACCTTCCTGACAAGTGTCATCTCTTGCTCATTCCTCTCCATGAGCCAGTCCTCCTATTCTTGCCCCTTGCCTGTAGTCCTGGTATGTTGTGCTCCTAAGTGTCCCTCCCTGTCTCCTGTTCATCTGCCTTCTTCCATCCTCATTCATGCCTTCACCTCACAGCACCTTCTCCCTCGAGTGTTCTCTCCTCTGTGCCAGCTCCTGGATCCAGCGTGGATATGCAGATGGGATGCGCAGGGCGTGGAGCTTGTGCAGCGGGCGCTGCTCCTTACCTTTGATTTTGTTGACAGATGTTTCTGTCAGTGGAAAGCCTCTGTGGGCCTCTGCATCTCTTCTGCTGCCCTTTTCCAGCCAGCACCTGGCCTTGTCCACAGTCTCCTTGTCAGTAGTGAAGTTCTCTCCTATCCAACTTAACATAGCCTGACACAGCCTTTGTGGTTTCACTGTGCTGAATTCACATCTTTCTTTAAATCTTGTCTTAAAGCAAAGGTAGCAGAGCTGTGGTCTGCCGTACACCCTTGGGCCTAGAAATAATGGAAGGATCTGGGTTTTTTTCTTATCTCTTGTTGTTTTGTCATTTGTCATCTTCCTTTCTTTCCCCTCGATGTAGTGAGTTTAGTTCAGATAAATGTGTGATAAGCACTGGAGAAACTTCCACTCCATGCCAACTTCCTCTTCAGATGGCTGGAGGGTGAGATATTTATTAAAAATTATGAATATTATTAATTTTTATGCATAAGTAATTCAGTCTTAAGGGTTTTTTCTTCACAGCTGTGTGAAATAAACACAGGTGGGGTAAGCCATAGGTTGTAGACCCTAAGCCATAAATGTGCAGTCCCACCTATGTAATCACTGCAGCGCTTGGCTTCTCAGCAGAGCACGGTATCCTGTGGTTTTTATCTTGATGCCAGAATGACAGAAAATTCCTTACAGTACTGACTTCATATTAAAGTTACTGTCCTGTTCAGGAGAATAGAGCTTTAGTAACTCAGTAAAAGTGAAGCAAACTATTTTTTACCTGGGTTAACTCCACAAAAAGTGACTAAAATAAGTCTGAAAGCCAATCAGATGTATTTTTCATGTTCTAGTTGACTCACGTATTTAAAATGGCAGGCTAGCTGTCAAAATCCTTGTTTTCATTTGGAGGAGGCAGTTTTGGGGTACTTAAAGCTTTAGCAATTCTCTCTTAATCAAACAGGAGATAACATAAAAAGCTTTTCATAGGCAATAAGAGGCATTTCTCTTGAAACCCAGGTTATACATCTGTAAAAATCCATTTCTTCTCAAAGCTGTTGAGCAGGTTTTAACAACTAAAGGAAAAATGTGAGTCAGTTTGTGAGTGAATAAATAGGAGGTTTAAGGAGGCCAATCTATCAGGGAAGATAGATGTGCAGTACCTGGAGACGTTCCCTGCATCTCATTGTGATTCTTTCTATTTCTTTTCTCCCAGGCCCAGAGGTGCAGCGGGACAAAGCCATGACAGGTGACCAGATGGACTCATTTGCTCACAGGCTTGGGGAGCACTGGAGAGTCCTGGCTCCCTACTTGGAAATGAAGGATTCTGACGTCCGGCAGATCGAGTTAGACAGCGAGGATGTGAGGATGAGAGCGAAGCAGCTGCTGGTGGCCTGGCAGGATCAGGAGGGCGCACACGCAACCCCTGACAACCTGATTGCTGCCCTCAGCAAAGCTGGGTTAAGTGACCTCGCAGAAAGCCTGACCAACGACACTGAAAGCAGCAGCTAACTCCAAATCGCTTCAGGTGCCAACTTGCGGTTTGGTTTTGGCAGTTGTTTTTGTTAATTGTCACTGTTCCGGTGGTTGTTGTCATCATTATTGTTAATTGTGACTATTTGGTTTGGTTTTGTTTTTACTTGCTGCTGCCGTTGCTAGGTAACAGATTTTTCATAGATATTTTATGTTCAATAAAACTTTTTAATAATAACTTTCAGTTGTCCAGGTTTTCTGAGAAAAGGATGAGCTGTCCTAGTCCAGAAATAGGAAGCTTCATTGTGGAAGGTGGAAATGCAGAAGGGAGGATGGAGTCGAGGCAGGTTTCTGCGTAGGCTGCAGCAGGGGGCTTGGCATTCACAGAGCTCAGGTTGCTCCTGGACAGAGCAATGGAGTCTCTGTAGCTGCTCGCTGTCTCTGTGGTTTCTCAGAGCATGGGTAGGTGTGAAGGACATCAGAGTCATGGCTTGGGGTGGCAGGGAGCTGTAGACCAAAGGTACCTGTTGGAGTGGCTCAACTTGGAGAAAATAATAGGGTTGACAGAGATCCAGGTCCCAGTGCTCACTTTCTGTGAAGAGCCAGGGTTGTCAGCTCCTGCTCTCCTGCTGCAGAACTGATTCTGGCCCTTGGCATTCAGTAATTGGGGGGGGATTTCTCATGTTTCTTGTTATTAGTAACTAACTTTAGTCTCTGCCTGTGTTTGGCTATGCAGGAACTCCCCTGAGTCATTTTAGGGATGTGGCTGTCTAGTGATAGGTACAAGCTGTAGCTGGATCTCTCAAAAAAAGAGATTTTTGTGGCATAGCTTGCTACAACTTTTGTGGTTATTTATTGTAGATTTTGTCATTCAGTGGCATCGCTCTGACTGTTTAGTGCCTGGAAAGCTACATCTCACAGAACTTTTCTCTGGTGACTACTGTTTCAGTTATTAAATCATCTCTCTGAATTGCCAGGGTGGTTTGCTACCAGCTGGGAGGTGCATTCCTACCTGCAGAGCT